AAAAAAAAAAAAAAAAAATTAACAATTGTTATATGATCTAGCAATTCTACATCTAGGTAGGTATATCTCTAAAAGAATTGAAAGCAGGCCAGACACGGTGGCTCACACCTGTAATCTTAGCACTCTGGGAGGCTGAGGAGGGTGGATTGCCTAAGCTCACTGGTTCCAGACGTCTGAGCCAGAGCAAGACCCCTCTCTAAAAATAGCTGGGCATTGTTGCAGGCACCTATAGTACCAGCTACTTGGGGGGGCTGAGGCAAGAGAATTGCTTGAGCCCAAGAGTTTGAGGTTGCTGTGAACTGTTTTGCCACAGTAGTCTACTGGGGGTGACAAAGTGAGACTCTGTCTCAAAAAAAAAAAAAAGAAAAGAAAAGAAAAAAGAAAGGACAGACTGGAACAGATAGTTATACATCCATGATCAAAGCATCGTCTTTCACAGTAGCCAAAAGAAGGAAGCAACCCAAGTGTTCCTGGAAGGATGAATAAACAAATTTGATATATACGTGCAATGGAATATTATCCAGCCTTAAAAAGGAAATAAATTCTGATACCAAATAGAACACTCTTGAAGATTTTGAGACAAAGTCCCCTCTGTTGCCCTGGGTAGAGTGCTGTGGCTTCGTAGCTCACAGCAACCTCAAACTCTTGGGCTTAAGCAATCCTTTTACCTCAGCCTACCAAATAGCTAGGACTACAGGCACCCCTCTCCCCCCAGGCCCAGTTAGATTTTCTATTTTTAGTAGATACAGGGATCTCACTTTTGCTCAGGCTCGTCTCAAACTCCTGGGCTCATGCAATCCACCCACCTCAGCCTCTGAGAGTGCTAGGATTATAGGCATGAACCATCACACCTGGCCAGTAATGGCTATTACTGGGGATGGGGGGAACCCTCAAGTGCTGGTGGAGGTGAAATTGTAACTGTCAAAAGAAAAGCCAGTGAAAGAAGCCAGACACAAAGGGACAATACTATGTGAGATACCTAGAATGGTCAAATTCCCAGAGACAGAAAGTAAAATGCTGATTGCTAGGGGATGGCCATGAGGAAAGAAAAGAAGTTATGGTTTAATGGGTATAGATGGGTATCTTCAGTTTGGGAAGATGAAAAAGTTCTGCAGATGGATAGCAGTTGATGGTTACAGAACAGTGTGAATGTATGTAATGCCAAAGAACTGTATGTTCACAGATGATTTTTTTTTTTATTGAGACAGAGCCTCAAGCTGTTGCCCTGGGTAGGGTGTCCTGGCGTCACAGCTCACAGCACTTCCAACTCCTGGGCTTGAGCGATTCTCTTGTCTCAGCCTCCGGCGTAGCTGGGACTACAAGTGCCCTCCACAAGGCCCGGCTATATTTTGGTTGGAGTTGTCACGGTTGTTTGGCAGGCGCGGGCTGGATTCAAATCCAGCTCTGGTGTATGTGGCTGGGGCCTTAGCCACTTGAGCTACAGGCACCGAGCCATGTTCACAGATGATTAAAGCAATAAATGTAAGGCAGGCACGGTGGCTCATGTCTGTAATTCCAGCACTTTGGGAGGCCGAGATGGGCGGATCACCTGAGCTCACGAGTTGGAGACCCCATCTCTAAAACTAGTCAGGTGTTGTGGCCGGTGCCTATACTTCCAGCTACTTTGGAGGCTGACGCAAGAGAGTCGCTTGAGCCCAAGAGTTAGAGGTTGCTGTGAGCTGTGACCGTAAGACCCTCTACAGGGGGCGACAAGGTGAAACTCTGTCTCAAAAAAAAAAGTATGCATATCTATCTATATATGTGTATTGTAAAAAAAATAATAGAAATTTAAGAGAATTTGGCTTGAATCTAGTCCCTGGACCTAGCAGAGCCAGTAGAGTGGCTCACCTAACCTTTGTAAGTCGGTGACTCCAATCCCCCCAGACCGCCACATCTACCTGGCCACCCCTCCTCCCCTCTCTTGCCCAGGTGGTGACCCTGCTAACCCCTGGAAGTCTCTCACTGCGCAGACGCAGACCGGTGGGCAGAAGAGGGCGTGGCCTTGTTTTGCACCTGAAGCTAAGCCTATTTAGGGTTAAAGTGATGCTGAGGTCGGGCTCCCCTACCCGGCAGCAAGAAGCTGCCTTCACTGCACACGCGCAGACCGAGCGCCCGCGTCAAGAGACGGAGAGAGCGCGCGCTTCCCACGTAATGCGCGCCCGGCTGCCAGGCATTGGTCTCAGCCCGGACTCCCGCCAGGCTGGGCTGGCGCGCCCACGTCCGAAGAGCGATGCCTCGGGAGATCATCACCCTGCAGCTGGGCCAGTGCGGCAACCAGAGTGAGCAAGCGAGCGCCGGGACCCGCCAGTCTCTGGTTCTGCCCCTTTCGGTCCCACCCAAGTGCCTGGCATCCACCAGTCGCTTTTCCCTTCCATGAACCTCCTGCGCTACTGCGCATAATGACTCAGACCAAGAGCTGCGCCTGCAGCCCTGGGCTGTGACAGTTTCCTGACCCAGGTGTCTTAGGTCCACTCTCTGATTGTGACAGCCTCTGAGCTTAAAACTGGGCTACTCAGGCCTTAGGGCTCTAGCAGACCTGGGCATCTCCCCCTCCCCCAGTTGGGTTCGAGTTCTGGAAACAGCTGTGCGCCGAGCATGGTATCAGCCCCGAGGGCATCGTGGAGGAATTCGCCACCGAGGGCACTGACCGCAAAGACGTCTTTTTCTACCAGGTGCTCCCAGTGACTTGGCCAGGGCAGGCTGTGGCCCAGGGGCCTGAAGGGAAGGGAGTGGCCTGGTACTGGGAAACCTGCTGGGCAGAGGGGCCAGGCTGCTGGCTTGAGGAGGGAGGGCCAGAAGGAGCCAGAGTTGGGAGGACGTCGGACTTGGCCCGTCCTGGCTGATTGGGCCCCTCCTGGACTTTCCTCGACAGGCAGACGATGAGCACTACATCCCCCGGGCTGTGCTGCTGGATCTGGAGCCCCGGGTGATCCACTCCATCCTCAACTCCCCCTATGCCAAGCTCTACAACCCAGAGAACATCTACCTGTCGGAGCATGGAGGAGGAGCGGGCAACAACTGGGCCAGTGGATTCTCCCAGGTGTCAAGGAAACCATCCCAGATGGTTGTTAATGTTTTCACCTTGGGGCAGGTCAGGCTCAAGCAACCTAGGAATTAGACCAGACCAGACTGGTAATAAATAAGAGACAAAGGGATACCCTAAATGGAGGGAAAGCCAGGGAGAGATTTATTCAAATTGGTGTAAATCATTTGCAAAAGTAGCATTTATGGATTGAGCACTACAGCTAGTGTTGTGCTTCAGGGTAGCAATAATGTCCCAGGGTAGCTCTCCAGAACTTTTGGACTGATCTTCCCTTTCCATATCTCTATACAGGGTGAGAAAATCCACGAAGACATCTTTGACATCATAGACAGAGAAGCAGATGGAAGTGACAGTCTAGAGGTGAGGTTCTGGTGGAAGGGTGAGGGAGGACAGTGACTAGGGGAAGGCTGAAGAGTGCTGGGGAAAGATCAAGAGGTGGCCTATGATGTAGTAGGGACAATTCCATTCAAAACCCATTTATTGAACATCAGATGTGGGATATTAAAGTAAATAAGATGCAGTCCTTGTTTACAAGGGTAAATTATAATCTGGATAGCACTGGCTCCTTAGGCATGAGTTACTCAGCTTCTTTGGCTTTGAACCTTCCCAGGAAGCCTCAGCCTAGATAGATAAGAGGAAGCCTTGAGAAATTGGTGGGAATGGGGAATGAGATAAGCAAGCCCTCTTCTCCAGATGCCAGCAGATTGCTTCTCCATCTCTCCCCAAGCTGGGTGTGATATTGTATATATTTTTTGGTTTTCTTCCACAGTTCCAAGCTTAAAACTTATAACCCTTGTAATTTCCAAAATGACTAGAGCAATAAGAGTATTTTTTGTTGTAGGGCTCTGGCCCCGTATATTGGAGGTGGCGGGTTCTAATCCAGCCCCAGCCAAAAACTGCCAAAAAAAAAAAAAAA